TGAATTATAAGGAGCTCACTTACAATTTCACCTTGGAAATATGACTTATTTATAAGATGGCACTACCTGTAATGGAAAGTTAAACTTCCTACATCATGGATGTGTAAGCAGATGTGTTCTCATTCAAGCTTTGCATTCCTTATCTATGTTAGTCTAAATTAGTGAGGTGAGCCTGTCCCCAGAGTTGATATGTGAATACAGTGTGAAGAGAAAAACACTCCTTCTTCAGTGTTTCAGCCCTGTTTGCAGTTCCAGTCACACCTCCTCATGTTACTGGTAAATCAGTCAAGCTGCTGGCATGAGTTTGCAGCTCAGAACAAGGCAACTTGTCCCTTGCTGAGCTAAAAGGCAGCCTCCAGGCTCGTTTTAATCTGATTGTTTTAATTTGATTTAATCTGCCCAGTAAATATTTTTCCTCAGCTGCAGAAAAGTGTAAATCAACCAAGTAGTTCATAATCTACGTATACAGTTAACAGAACTCACGCTGGTTGACGCAATGGGAGTTGATTTGAGTTTGCTTTTTCCAGGCAATCACCACAGTTCCCCGCGGGGTTAGCATTTGATATGATGGTAATAACAGAGCACTACCTCACTCCAGTATTAACTCCAATTCATTGATCGGTTGCTATGTACTTGTAGCTTTCCGTTACCCTCATTATACTTGGGGAAGTAGGCATTGTTGTCCCCATTTTACAGATGAGTTAAATGAGGTGCAGAAAGATTGAATGCTGTGCCCAAGGTCTCCCCTAAGAGTTGGTGAAGCCAGCATTCGAACCCCAAGTATGCTCGATGCCAATACCTTTGTTCTTGCTATTATACTATCACCATTCTGTCTGTATAAAATGACACACACACAATTTTAACCTGTTCAGTTCTATGAGCTAACATCCTTGAGCTGACTCAACAGACTTGGCTGGAATTTGTTTTTTTTTTTAATGCCAAGCATCTCAGAATCAAGATCAAATTGGATCTTTCAAATTTCTTCCAAAATTCCCACGGAGACACAGATGATGATAATTCAAACATCTACTAACGTTTAGTGCTAACATGTAAATTTTATCCAGAACTGGGAGGCACTTGTGCAACTGCAAGACCATGAGCCTGTATAGAAGAACATCTTCTGAGGCCTGCTTCTGTGATGTTTCTAGGGAAACTGAAAACCTGCTCCCACTAAAGCAGGGAGGAAGACTATTTCCTTGTTCTACTATTAACCCATCAATCCAGAATAATCAAACACTCACCACAACTCAAGACCCCTCTGCTTCACAGGGGTTAGTGTTTGAAGCAACCAGGACAGGGATGACTGAGCTGTGGCCTCGGTTAGTAGAGGTGTAGTGATGGAGAAGGATGTGGAGAAGGAGTAGGAGGAATAAGTAAAAGTATGTTAAACATTTTACATGCAGGGAGAATCAAAGTTGACAGCAATAGTAATAACAGCAATGTATTGAGTATACACATAAAATGATTCCTTTTCAAGGACATGCTTATAAGTTTGTTTGACTCAGAGCTTAGAAAACTTAGCAAAGGAGTATTTTCTTTTTCCTTAGGGGATAAGAAGATTGATCTGAGGTAAAAAAAAAATTGAGTTTGAGTCTCATTATGCTACTTTCTTTTTTGAGATAGAGTCTCGCTCAGTTGCCCAGGCTGGGGTGCAGTGGCACTATCTCAGTTCACTGCAACCTCTGCCTCCCAGTTTCAAGCAATTCTCATGCCTTAGCCTCCCAAGTAGCTGGGATTACAGACACCTGCCATCACACCCAGCTAATTTTTTTTTTTTTTTGGAGATGGCGTTTCACCTTGTTGGCCAGGCTGATCTCGAACTCCTGACCTCAAGCGATTCACCTACCTTGGCCTCCCAAATTGCTGGGATTATTGGTGCGAGCCACCGCGTCTGGCCTCATTCTGATCTTTACTAGTTATGTGACCTTGACAAGTCATTTACCTTTCATGAACCTCAGTTTACTGAACTGTCCAATAAGAATAATAATGTCCATTTTCAAAGGATGCTGTAAGAATTAAATGAGGTCATACATAGTATGCATATCCTGGCATTTTGCTATCATTTAAAACTGGTAGCAATAATAATATTTGAGGCCTTGTTCTGGTGTTACAATTGGGCCACAAAACAATTAGTCAAGGTAAATAGAAGAAATAGACCCAGAGCCTGCACATGGCTACCAGTGCAAAGGCTGTATTTAAATTGAAATGATTATTCTAGTCCTAGTTAATGCTTTTTCAATTACATCTCCATGTTTTGTCTTGACTTTCTTAGACTGATAGATATATGTTTAAGAATATTTTTGAAAATCTTAAAAGTAATCATTAAAAGAATTAAAACCATATGTGTGCCTATTAAAGTTTGGGAAAATATAAAAGCAAAGACCTCCAACTTGAAAAAAGCAAAAGAAATATGAAATATACATCCCAAATATAAAGTACTCACACAGAAAAAAGGTGACAGAAGAATAACACAAATTAATTGTTAAATAAAGACAAATGAGTTTAACATTCTTATTAAAATACAGCCTCCTTTGGGGAACAAAAATAATATTAGTAAAACAAATGTCTGCTCTTTTTAAGGGTAAATCTTGAAACAAAATGACAGAAGAATAGATCAGTATAGTAAGATGGGCAAAGATTTTTCCAGTAAATGCAAACACAAGAGCTTAATGTTGGGTAAATTGATTGTGTCTTGCAATTTTAATTTGTATTCTGTCAGTTACAAATGAAGTTGGACGTCTTTCATAAGTTTTCTAGTTCAATTTTTTTCTTATAAACTTCCTGCTCATAGTTCTTCCTCAATTTTCTATTGTATTTTTGACTTTGTAACTGATTTATTAGAGTCCTCTATGTTAGTCCTTAATCGTATGTGTTTCAAAAAAATTTTCTCATTTGTCATTTGTCTTTGGACTTTCTCAAAACAGTTTCTAAATTTATATGCACAAAACTGTTTATTGCAACTATTTTTAATAGTAAAAACCTGAAGAATACTCTTCTATATAAACATTAGGGTCAACTTTCAACTTGCTTTTTTCACGAGAACCTCATGGGGTATATTAAAGAAATTGTATTGAATCAATAGAATTATTTATGGAAAATTGATTTATATATGTTATTAAGTTTTTTCATCTATGATTTCCGTATCAGTTTGTCATTTATTTCCAAATATTTGTAGTTTCCATTAAAATTTGATCTTTAAACCACACACTATTTAGAATTGCTTTTTTTTGAAATTTCAAATTTATGGGATTTTGGGGGAAGCATAGTTTATCACTTTTAATTTTATCAAATTCTGGTTACAGACAATGGTTTTTGCCTTATAAATTATTTGATATTTATTGACATTTCCTTATTGATTAATACTGTATTAGTTTTCTATTGCTGCATAACAAATCATCCCAAACTTCATGACTTAAAATGGCACCCATTTATTAGCTCATATAGTTCTATAGGTCAGAAAACTGGCACAGAGCAGCTGGGTTCTCTGCTTATGGTCTCACAGTGCAGAAATTGTAGTGTCAGCTGATCTTGTGTGGAGGCTCTGGGAAAGAATCTGCTTCCAAACTCATTCTTGTTGGTACAATTCAGTTCTTTGTGGGTGTAGGACTGAGGTTGCCAGCTAACTCTGCCAGCTATCAGCTGGAGATTGGTCTCAGCTCCTAGAGGTCATTTGCATGAAGAGCCTCGTGACCCCATCCATCTTTAAAGCCAGTAACAGAAAATTTCTTCTGTATCAAATCATCCTCATACTTTGAATCTCTGGATTGTCCTGTTTCTGACCTCTAGACCCAGATTTAAAGGGCTCATGGAGCTAAGTCAAGCCCACTTGGATAATTTGTCTATTTTAAGGTCAATTGACTTGGCACCTTAATTACATCCGCAAAATCATTTTACAGCAGTACCAATACTAGTGTTTGATTGAATAACTGGGTGTATGTACACCGGGTTTTGGGCTCTTGGAGGCCCTCTTAGAATTCTGCCTGCCATAGATCTGTGCTTGAAAAGACTGTATTTTATATATACACTGTGTTTCATGAACATCTATTTGATCAAACTTACTATGACCCTCAAATCTTCTAGTCTTTACAAATTGCACAGGTTTTAATGTGTCTGAAACAATGTTTACATTAATATCTTGACATTCGTGAAAGTAGTGTGGTCAAATCAGTGAAATTTAAGACTGAGAAATTAGTGCCATTTAAAACCTCCTTATCTACAAGAGGGACTTGCATTTTATCTCTCAAATATATATATATATTTATTATATCTCTCTCTCTATATATATATATAGTCTACACAGCTCTCTAAGAACTTAGAATAAATTCCTTCCTATTTCACAGATACACCAGATAATGGTACTCTGCTCTTGGGCATAGAAAGGTTGTTGCTTCACCAATTCCATTCTCCAATAACTCTAAAGCATCCTACAAGATCCTCTTCAGTCATCTCTTCATATAATACCTGACCTCCAACATGATATTATCTTATAGTCCTTCATTTATTTGTCATCCATTCTTCCTCTCTCCTTCCTTCCTTTCTTTCTTCCTTCCTTTCCTCCTTCCCATCTTCCTATAATAAGCTTTTGTTACACACACATACACACCCGTTTGTGAGCAGGTGTGTGTCTGTGTGTGAATCTTTAATTATATCTCCTCTTTTCTTCTTCAGCTATACTATACTGCCTATAGTTGGGTGTGAAGATTGGGGAGAAACATGTGTTTTAGGTTAACATTGTGTTCCTAGTATCCAGGACAGTTCCTATTCCATAGTGCTGTTCAAATATTTGTTGAATAAATAAATGGATAAATAGATAACTGTTTATAAAGTGTCCATGATGAGGCAAGGCTTTCATTCAACTATAATGACACTTAAAGTGTCATTATAATTTATAATTATAAATTGTATATATTCATAAGTTTATATCTCTGCTTTCCTCATTTGTCTATAGAATCTCTCCACTGCTGCAGTCATCCTAGTCTACAATATCACCAATTTCTTACCTGGATTACTGTAATAGTCTCCTCAGTGCTTTTCCTGCATTCTGGTTCCCTGGCTTCAAATCCATCCTCCATATGGCAGTCAAAGTGAGCTCCTAAAACTGGAAATCACATTATTTCACCACTATTCTTAAAACCTTTTTTAAAAAATAAAGTCTAATCCTTTAAATTAATGTATAAGGGGTAACCATACATATCAGTTTGCCTGGGACATTTCTATTTATGCTTGCTATCCTAACATAAATCCTACTCCAATTGCCTAGATGCCAGTCTATGACCCATGGGTAAAATGTCTAGTTTTTGAGGACATCCGAAACTGGCTTAAAGACTTAAGTGGCCTGGCCCTTTTACATGTGCTTGGTATTGATGTGAGTGAATTAGGGTTGACTGGGGATTGCATGGCCTAGAACTCTTTTTGGGTATCTTTGTTGTTTTTCAGCCACACCTCTGCAAGAGCCTTTGTAACTGAGTAACTGAATGATAGTAACACCCTATTGATTTTTTTTAGCTGTCCCCAGAGTAGTCTTTGTTCACACACAGGGTGGACACCACTCATTGAACTCAATACATGTGAGCCGCTCTGTTCAGCCTTGACAACATCCCTAAATTTTCCACTATGTGTTCTTCTAAAAGTTGATAATATTTTTGACATCAGTCCTAAATATACTGATAAGACTTATCAGTATAGTGGTTTATCTGTATATCCGTATCAGTGGTATACAGATATACCACTCATAGAACATTAGTGTAAGTGAAAAATCACACTTTATTTTTTTATTAGCATATTATTAGCATATGAGCACTGTAAGAATTTTTATTAAGACAGCAATCTTTCCCCAGTGCACATCATGAAACAGCCAATGCTTCCTTTGATCAAGGCTAGTACTTGAAAACATAACTCTTTGGACTTCACATGTCTGGTTATCTAGCAGCTAGGTAAACAATGATCAGATAAACAATGATCAGTCTGTGTTGAATATATAGGGTGCAAAGTATTAAATTGTTTGTTGTGAATATAATTTCTGAGCAAGAAAATCATGCCTCCTTCCTTGAGCGCTGGAGATTTTAAGATAGAAATGACATAGCTTCCTGCCTTATAAGACTTGCAGCTTATAAAAAAGATAGATTTTATAGACAAACATTGTGATATTCTAGAAAAAATGGCTTGCATGATGTCTGCCATACAGATGGCATTCAAATATGTGCTACTTGAATAAATAAAATAAAGCATGCATGAGAGATTAAATAGAAGTACAAAGATTAAGAGAAGCATAGCAGAAAGCACTTTCTGCATGGGAAGTTAGCAAAAGCATCACAGCCATGGTTGCATGGAGACCAGCCTCTGGAGCTTATGTGTGAGCGGACTAGATGGAGAAGGCTAGAGAAGGTGTGCTGGGCAGGTGGAATTGCTTGGCAAATGTGTGGAGCTGTACTGAAAACAAAACCATGCATGGCATGTGCAGGAAATTGAGTAGTAGTTCAATCATCTGGAAAGGGTCCTCAAAATTTCATGGGTAATGTTTTATCAGGATGAGAAGTAATGGCTTTGACAGCACTGATGTCCATTATACAAGTTGATCCTGCTTCAGAATGTAGGCTATTGATATTTCTCCCTGGTCCATGCAGAATTTGACGACACACAGTTATCACCTTCACAAAAGCAGCTACCCTTGTTCTTGGAGCACCTGGTCCATAGGACTGCTAGACCACAGGTACTCAAAGATGTGCTTTCCAAGATCATTGTGGAGCAAAGGGCTCATCCTCCCTGGTGACTGTGGGTGCTATTGGCTCTGGTTACTCCTAGCAAATTTCTCTTTTCTCGATGCTCCTGGATAATATATAAGAACCAAAACTAAATGAGAGAGAGTGTGCGAGGTTGTTTGCCTGAGGCTAAGTCTGTGGCGCCTCCCTACTTCTTTGCAATGTTTGTTTATAAGGTCATGTGAGGCAGGATGGCATAAAGGGAATGCTACTGAACATGTGGGTAAATCTAGGATCTGAATCCCAGCTTGGTTCGTGGCTAACTTTGTGATCTTGGGCAAGTTACTTCTTTTCTTCGAATTTTGGTGCAGAAGCAATTTTTGAGGTTGCTGCTAGCTCTAACAGTTTAGGACCACATCATCCTACTGTGTCCCAGGTTGTCAGAATAACCAGGCTTTTTAGATGGTGGAGTCTGAATGGAGAAACAAGCAAATAACAACAATAACAACAACAACAACAACAAAAACGTAAGGAAAGTTTTATGGGCAATATCTTATCTGGGTGAGGAAAGTAATGGCCTTGATAGTAGTGCTGACCATGATTCAAGCCAATTTTTTTTCCCTAAAACTACAGTATTAATAGCCCAGACAGACCACTGAGTGCTGGTTAGCTGGGAGTTGGAAGAAACAAGAGCTGAGGTAGATGGACATAGTCTGATGCCATAGGCTCATCTCTTCTGAAACTTTCACACAATTGCAGCCATCAAAGCTGTTTGCCTTTGAGTGAGAAGAGCCCCCTCTCTAGGGGGACTTCTATTTGCTCACTATGTCCCAGAAAGCAAGAGAAAAACAAAAGCAGTGGGGCCACTCTTTGCTAACCCCTTGCTAGCACACCAGTCTTAGGAGTATCAGAGTCTGATAGCTCTGGTCTTCTTAGAGACTGCTTTAACAGAAATACCTCATGGCCTGGGCAGGCCGCAGTGAACTGCGGCATTTCTCTGAGGGAAAGAGAAGGGGCCTCAGAGCTCCAGTATCACATCTAATAGAAAAATGTTCTGGGTGTGACGCTGTGTAGGAGGACTTGATTCTGTGAGGGAGCCTTATGAAAAGATACACAGTCTAAACAAACAAACAAAAAGGTGGCAGACATGAATATATTTCCTGCCACATTTTACACAACATGGAGGTACTTCCTGCCACATTTTACACAAAGATGAAAGTTGATTTTGAGAACACAAAGATATTACAGTAAATACTTTCATCTGTATATAGAGTGAGAAAAATCATTAGAGTTATGTTTGTCTCTCTCACTCTGTGTGTGTGTGTGTGTGTGTGTGTGTGTGTGTGGTATCTCGCTACTGTACTTTAACAATAATTCCTCTTGACATCATACAAGGTCAGCAAGTCACCTCAAGACCACCCTGCTTGAGGGTTTGCTTTCCACACAGGGCTGCATGGGCTCCCTCAGCTGAGAAATGTCACCCAGCACCTTTCATATTTATGGTGACTCATAAACAGGAAACCAGTCCTGTCCATGACATTGTAACTTTTTCATATCTCAAATCCTTTTATGAAAATGAAAACACACACACATGCATACACACACACACACACACACACACACACACACCCCAAACAAAACAAGAGAACTTAGCTGCCTTCTGCTTTCTGGGCCAAAATAAATATTGCCAAATTAGTAAGGCATACTGAACAAATTAAGCGCTAAATGCAAATTTATCGACTGAAATCCAATGGCAGAGTCACCAAAGAGCTTATAGTGGTGGAGTGCAGCCCTGTAAGTAGGTGTTTGTGTTGGCGAGTCTCTGCAGAGGGACATGGGAACAGTAATATAAAAAGAGAGCATTTCTGTTACACCCAAGATGAACAGTTTGTTTTAGAAAGTTCAAGTAAACAGTGTCTAACATATATTCACTGAATTCAGAATCTCAGTTGTTAACAGGAGAGGGATGAAAAAAATAAGCTGGCAAAAAATTTTAAAAAATATCTCATTTGGAAATGTTCAAGTCAGCATCATAAATCATCTGATGAGATGGAGACGTTCCTCCTCATCTCTGAGCCATGAATAAGCCTCAGCAGTGCTTCACAAAGGCAAATAAGAACTTCTCCCTGAAGGATATTTAAAACCTTACAAAACAAGGAGAAGATTTATTCCAATATTTTCTAATGTCCCAAATGGAATATACATGATCCTTTAAAGTTATGGGCATCATTTATGATGTCAAAGTTTTAAAAGTTGTATATGTATTGCATTGTTTTGATGGTTGATTTGGGAGGGGTTGAGGTAGAGAGTGGACATGTTTGTAAATGTGATCCTGTGATCGTGGACTCAATGACAGCCCTTCCTACACTGTTCAGGTTCACTCATCTACTTTATTGTGAAATACCCTAAGATGCAGAGAAACTCAGTAAGAGTTTGCATTAGATGTTTCTTCTTTAGCAAAGATTTTCCACTTGTCTCTTCTTTAAAAAAATTAAAACAGAAGAAGAATTGAAGACACCATGATTCAGAGAAGTCTTTTATCATATACTACAAATTGAGAATAGAATGGGAACAGCATAGTATGTCAAGCCTAGAAGGATGTTTAGAACACTTTCTTTAACAGAGGAAAAATCTGTGCCAGAGAAAGTTCTAGAAGATTATTTTTATCTGCTGACTCTTAACCGAAGTTCTTTCTACATACCAATCTCCCCTCAAACACAGTTATTAGTAGAGGTTTTTTCTGTAGATAATGTTCTCTTCCTACACACAGCAACAGAGAGTAACAGAGTTAAATATCTCCTTTTTCATGCCATATTTTGTCACAAGAAAATCCAGCGGCCTTTTTCTGCAGAGGAAGAAATCAAGTCTAAACTCCTCAAGCAATTTGTATTTTGAGGATACTCTTGGCCTTTGTTGGCCAAGACAGAAGACAAATTTAGAATTGGCAGTGCCGGGAAGATAGCGAGAAAACTGTGAAGCAGAAAAAAGCTCAGATGTAACAACTTAAGGAAGGGAACTATATTAATATTTAGTGGGTGGGAATAAAAGTGACTTAGACATTATCTTCCCCAATATGACATTTCCTAAGAAATCAGCTAGTGTTACCTTTTTAAAAGTTAATTTATATTTTTTAAAATTAACACATTTATATTTATTTATCATGTACAACATAATGTTGTGAAATATGTATACACTATGGAATGTCTAAATCCAGCAAATTAATATATATATTACCAACATACTTATTATTTTGTAGTGAGAACCCTTAACAACTACTGTTACATTTTTTAAAGTGTCCAGAGAGTCAAAGAATGATTTAATTTATTTGCATATCACAATTTCAACAAACTAGAAACCAACTAACC